GGAATGAAAAGGGTGGCTGCGAAATTCGTGCCATGACTGCTGACTGCTGAACAAAAACAAGGTCGCATGGAAGCATGCTGTGCTTTGAAAGAAGAGTCCCGAAATGATCAAAACTTTTTTTCATAAATTATCACCGGTGACGAAACCTGGTGCTATGCTTACGATCCTGAATCAAAGCAACACTCAAGCCAGTGGAAGAGTTCAAGTTTGCCTTGCCCCAAGAAAGCTTGTCAGGTGAAATCAAACATGAAAACAATGCTGATTTGTTTTTTCGATGTGAGAGGAGTTGTCCATTCAGAGTTTGTTCCACAGGGTCAGACAGTTAACCAGGCTTTCTACTTGGCAGTTTTGAAAAGATTGCGCAACAGTTTGTGGTGGAAGCGGCCAGATTTGTGGCAGCTGGGTGACTGGTTTTTCCATCATGACAATGCCCCTGCTCACACAGCCCTGTCTGTACGACAATTCTTGACCAAAAATGGTATGACCCCTGTTCCTCACCCTCCATACTCACCCGACCTTGCCCTGTGCGACTTTTTTTGTTTCCTCGAATGAAAAGACATGAAAGGAAAGCGTTTTGCTGATGTTGCTGAGGTGATGGAAAAAACGACGGAGGCGCTGTCAAGCATCTCAAAAGATGAATTTAGACAATGTTTTGAAAAATGGAATAAAAGACTAGACAAGTGTATTAGTGTAAGTGGAGAGTACTTTGAAGGGGATTGAAGGTTTGTGCTTAAAATTTGAATAAATAAGTTTAAACAAAATAAGTTCGGTTTCTTTTGGTTACCCCCTCATACGTGCGCACACACAGAGCATGGGATAATCAACATAAGATCTAGAAGTCACTAGCACTTAGCTTCCATATGTTAACTGTGGAAACCTGGAGCAGGAAAAATAGACCATTGTATTCAGGATCAACATCTTGACTCTTTTCTTTGGTCTCTCTTATAGCAGAAAACGCATCATTCTGTTGGTTTCTGCTTTGTTGAAGCTGGGATAAAATCAGGAAAGTGTCTTGCTTAGATCCGAGATGGTCTGTATGGCTTTTATGACTCCAATGCTTGCTGTAGGATGAGGCTTACCATACTTCTTGATCAGCTTTTCTGCTAGTTCAAAGAGCAACATCGACCAATACTTCCTCCCTAGTTGCTTTCTGTGCATATGGCAGGCGTTCAGTGCATACATGTCCAGTAGTTATTAAAATATTTTCATATATTATTTCTTCAGCCCATCTCTTTGTTGTAATTTATTAAAACTACAGGTTATATAATCTCCCCTTATTTTCTCTGCACAGGAACCGTATGACCACTGTGGACTGTACTGACAAAGGCTACATTTTTCTTGCTCTTCCTCTTGAATTGAATTGAATTTATTTACATTCTATAAATCCTTTGGATACAGAACAAGTCAAAAGGTTACATGCATAAGTACAGGCAATTTTAGCTTAAAAATTAATGTAACTTAATTTTACATCATTCTCTATTTACATTGAAGTATTCATCTAAAGAGTAAAAGGAATGAGCATGTAGATAATTCTTTAACTCTGATTTAAACTTTTTAGTATCATTGCCCAAGTTTTTAATACTTTGTGGCAGATTGTTGAACACTTTTATGCCAGTAAAGTAGACTCCTTTTTGATATACTGATAAAGTTGATGAGGGTAGGTGGAAGTTATATTTTTGTCTAGTATTCATGTTATAGACATCAGAATTTAATTTGAATTTATCTTTGTTGTAAACAACAAATAAGAGAAGCGATAATATGTATTGCGATTGAAGAGGTAGAATTTTTAATTTCTTAAATAATTCTCTACATGAATCTCTACTTCTACATCCTGTAATGATTCTAATTATATTCTTTT